CAGACCATTGGCAACTGCCCATGGATCAGAATTCAAGATACCTTCAGGATGTCCTTTCTGTAATTTATGACTTATTGGCAATTGTACTGATTTTAATTCATCATGTTGGGCTGACTTGTCTGTCCCTCCACCTGCCCAAGTTTCTCCTGGGGGTGGATTTAGGATCACCCTCTGCTTTCCCCTTGATCCCTTCTGGTGTGCGTGAGGCACTCCCATCCTTGAGCCATCCCATCAGCTGTGCCCCAATGCCAGCTCAGACCAGGAGGAAGCTGCTGTCTCCAGGGTGGTGGTTGAGGTGTCCTCTGCCCTCTCTACTCACCAGGCAAGCCTGGCAAAGGCTGAGACACTGCCTCCTCGATGGAGGAGCCTGCTTTGTTCTTTCCCTTACATACCACTTCACTTTAGGTGAGCAGGTCTGTGTGCCACCCCCTTTGTTTGGTCAGGACCGAGTCTAGCTCGTGCTGAGATGAGTAACTTGGTTCTTATTTGGGGGCTACCAACAGTCCCTCCACATCCTGTAATGTAAGCAATGTAACCAGTGCCTTTTTTTTTTCTATTGGGCTAATTTTCTGTATCAGAAAATTTCTTTGTCCAGTAGGTTGGCATAGTACCATGCCTGATTCGCAAAGCCTAACTCGGAGTGACCAATCGGCACGTCCGTGAGTCCTTGAAATCTGTTTTCTTTAGTCCTATAGGTGCTCAGGGTGATGATGTCATGCTGCCCTGTCTGCTTCATCTAAGGATGTCTGTTGTCCAATCTTGTGGAAAGGAAAGTCTGGGGCTCTTTCACCTAGTGATTTGATATAGTGTAAAAGAATATTTACCATGGAATCTGTTTTCTCCAATAATCAAATAATTCCATCAATTTTAGGGGCTTTTTTTTTTTTTAATCCTAGGCTATGTCCTTTATCTGTTCATTAATTGACTCTGGTATTGTGCTCTCTCTAATGACCGGATTTTACCTAAAATTTTAACTAAGATACTTCCTTTTATAATTTTATGGTGGACAACTGTCCATCCTTTTAATTCTAAACATTGTATGATTTTTTTTATTTATTTTTTTGTGAGGAAGCTTAGCCCTGAGCTAACATCCATGCCAATCCTCCTCTTTTTGCTGAGGAAGACTGGCCCTGGGCTAACATCTGTGCACATCTTCCTCTACTTTATATGGGACGCCGCCACAGCATGGCGTGACAAGCGGTGCATTGGTGCGCACCTGGGATCCGAACCTGCGAACCCCGGGCCACCGAAGCAGAGCGCGCAAACTTAACTGCTACACACCGGGCCATGATTTTATCTGTTCAAGTTATTATATGTTTTCTATCTGTTCCTCTAAATATAATATCATGTATGTAATAATTAACATTCTCAAATCCCTGCATACTACGCTATTTATACATCCCTGGAATAGTTTCTGAAATGTCTGTTGTTTTCTTTGCCAAGTAAATGCAAATTGGGCTCAGGAATCTGGTGATCTGGAGATACTGGTATTACAAAAAAACTATTACTAGGATCTATGGTAGACGTGTTTTCTTGGATACATAGAGATCTTTTCTGGGATGTGTTTGCATGTCTGCCAAGCTCTGAGCTGCTGAAGGGCAGAGGTGTGTCCTCTACTGCTATATCCCGTCTCCTAGTGCAGGGCCAGTCACTTTAGGACTCAAGGTCAAAGTGGGGTGACATAATAGGAAGAGAATGGGGTCCAGAGCCCTATGGAATGGACAGTCCTAGCTCTGCCTCTCATTTCCTGGGCTACTTTCAACAAGTTCCTTTAATCTCTCTAACTTGGGCTTCCTCATTCATGACAAGAGATTTTCACATATTGAGGTATATGGGGTAACTATTCGAGTTCAAAACTGATTTGACTTGAACTAAAGAAGCCTGACTTATGGCCTATCAAACATACATTGTACATCTGCTTTAACCATTAAAGTAAAGAATGCACTCTCTTAAGAGAAGAATGCATACTTTCCCTCCTAGGCCTTATTGGTAACACCCTATTGGTAACGCCCAGATTAGTCCCTTTCTCAACATCAGGGTCTGGTTGACCTGCTAATTTGCAACTGAATACCTCTTTGAAACTTTGAATATGTATCCTGGGTGTGTTTAATGTATGTTCTTTATTCTAAAAAGGTATAAGACTGTACTGAAAACCATGCTTCTCCGGAATGCTTTCCTCCTTTCTGAAAAAGCCCTTCCCGGATTCTAATCCTCACTCTGGCTCAAGTAAAATCCACCTCTCTCTCCTATCTATGGAATGGTTATTGGTCATTTTGCATCAACATCTATAAAGGGAGATGATGACACTGGCCTTAGGGCTTGTCTGGAGCAAGGTGTTCAAGGTAGCAGGCTTGGAATTGGTGTCAGTGAATAGTTATTTACTAGTAGCTTATCAAACTGGAAATTGCGTGAAAGAATGTGACAGATAAGATGTGCCGTCCTCGATGCAGAAGCATCAGCCCATATCCAAGACTCAAAGAGGGTCTGAGGGGGAAGAGCCCTGGAGACGATCCCGTCTTGCTGACCACTGTACAGAATAACAAGGGACGTCGACTGGGTGGGACAACTGTCCTTCTCTACGGCTACCGGAACAGGCAGTGAAGGAGCCAAGGACTCAGTCCCAAGATGCTGAGCACCGGGCTTCTTGATGGAGCTGCCACCATCTCGGGCCTCTAAACCGAGGGGCGTCCTGCAGCCTCCCAGTGGCCGTTTCGAGGCTGCACAGCAAGATTCTGCATCCTTGCGTTGCCTTTGACTGCCCCCTAGGGGACATTTTTTCTGCAGAGAGGGTTAGGGCGCTCTCCACGCCTCTTGGTCCTCTCCCCTTCTCAGTGCTTGCTCCTGTGGCCATCTACCCCGACTTGTGGCTTGGCATACCATCCATGCGCTGACTACTCCCAGTCCACACTCCCCCCTGAACTCCAGACTTGGGGATCCAACTGTCACTTGTCATCTCCACTGGAAAGTCTAACAGCCATCTCAATCCGAATGTGTCCAAAACCGAGCTCCTCGTCCTCCCCCAACCCTGCTCCTCCCACAGTTCTCCCCAGTCCAGTTAGGGCAGCTCCACCCTTCCAGAGGCTCAGGTTGAACCTGGGGTGCCATCCTTGATTCGTCTCTTTCCTTCACACCCAAGTCCCATATATCAGCAAATCCTATTGGCTGTACCTTCAAAATACGTCCAGAATTTGACCACTTCTCACTATCCTGGTCCAGGCCACCATCGTTTCTAGACTTATTATTAAAATAGTCTCCTATCGGGCCGGCCCCGTGGCTTAGCAGTTAAGTGCGTGCGCTCCGCTACTGGCGGCCCGGGTTCGGATCCCGGGCATGCACCGACGCACCGCTTCTCCGGCCATGCTGAGGCCGCGTCCCACATACAGCAACTAGAAGGATGTGCAACTATGACATACCTATCCACTGGGGCTTTGGGGGAAAAAAAAAAAGGAGGAGGATTGGCAATAGATGTTAGCTCAGAGCCGATCTTCCTCAGCAAAAAAAGAGGAGGATTAGTGTGGATGTTAGCTCAGGGTTGATCTTCCTCACACACACACAAAAAAAGAGTCATCATCCAGCGTAACATGCTTTGAGTACTTGACCATGTGACAGACACTATTCTAAGGGCCCCACTTGTATCAAGTTACCTAACCCGTACAACAGACCTGTGAAGATAACTACCATTATCCCACTTTACAGATGAGGAAACGGAGACTTGAAAAGTTTCAGTTTCACATATTAAGGTTCCACATAGGACACTTTTTGAAAAAAAATTGTTGTACTAACAACAAGTTTTGAAAAAGCCTGGAGGGGGCCGGCCCAGTGGTGCAAGCGGTTAAGTGCGCGTGCTCCGCTTCAGTGGCCCGGGGTTCGTAGGTTCGGATCCTGGGTGCGCACGGATGAACCGCTTGTCACGCCACGCTGTAGTAGCGTCCCATATAAAGTAGAGGAAGATGGGCACGGATGTTAGCCCAGGGCCAATCTTCCTCAACAAAAAAGAGGAGGATCGGCATCAGATGTTAGCTCAGGGCTGATCTTCCTCACAAAAAAAGAAAAAAAAGAAAAAAGAAAACTCCTGGAATGGTCCAAGGCCTTTCTTTTACATGTGGGCAAGTAAAAATCAGAAAAAGAGAGGTCATTTGCTCAACGCCACACATTTTTTCTTATTTCTTGGATGCCTGTTCTGTGTCAGGCACTGTGCTATGACCTAGGGGTTCAGAGATCAACAAGACACTCCTGGAACACAATTTTAGTGGGGGCCAATGGACAATAAGATATAAATGAGAAAAATAATTCCAGCGAGTGCTGATATAATAAATTTGGGGAGACATTTCTGGGTGATAAGGAGGGAGGGCGCTAATTCAGATTAGAGGTGGTCAGGGAAGTGTGGTCTGAGGAGGTGACATGTGAGCTGAGACCTGAAGGACCTGAAGAGGCCAGCCATGGAAGGCTATGGGAAAAGAGCATTCCAGGTGGGAGGAACTGAGAGTGCAAAGGCCCTGAGGCAGGAATACTTTGTAATAGGGCAGACTCCTGGTCCAGTGCTCCTTCACCACTTGCTGCCTCTCTAGGCCCTCAAAGAGATCCCTTTGGTGTCCTGGGCCTCCCCTAAGCTCAGTCCCTAAGGTGCCGACTTACCCGGGAAGGCAGCAGCTCTCTAGGGCTGTGGGTCCCCTTCCCAGAGGCCCTGTGGCTGAACCGGATCTGAGTTTCCTGGTTCCTGTCTGGCAGGGGGTGAGCAGACATCCTCCCCGCCTTCTCTCCCCAGGCTCCAGCCCTGGCCCCAAATCTCCATGACAACCCTAGACACAGTCCTGGTCTGAAGAGGATCTGGGAGGGCAGCACAGAGATCACCGTGAAGAGATCAGAGGAGCTGGCGGACTTGCCTCCCCTGGCTCCTTGTGTCCGGCCGCCTGGCCAGGCCCCCACAGCCCGGTCTCCCCAAGGACCCTACACTGAGGCTTCTGCGGGTCTGCCCCCTTGTGGGGCACAGCGGGGCCTGGATGGAGGCCTGTCTCCCGCAGCTGCCTCAGAGATTGCTCCTGCTGGGGGCGGCCGCCCTGACCGTGTCTGCTGTGGAGACAGGTGAGCATGAGGGGCCTTGGCTGGGGCCCCATCACCCTTAGAGACTGTTTCCCCAATCAGCACTCACCCTGATGGGTGGGGACCCCTTGAGTTAGGGGAGGCTGGGAAACCCTGGGCCTGCTCTTCCCTGGCACCCCTAAGTCCATCCCCACCCCCTCTGGAAGGCTGGAGCTCCAAGTCACCCAGGAGCAGCGGGTTGGGGGTGCGGGGGACAGCCCTCAGGTCTGGCCACGGAAAACACTGTGGGCTTTGGGGTCAGACACTCACTCTGCGTCCTCCTACATTTCTCCCTTGAGGCCATTGTTCCAGCTGTCTCAGTCTCAGTTTCTTCAGCAGTAAAATGGGAGTAATAACAGGCTCTTGTCCCTTAAGAGACTTTGTTATTGTGCGTATAAGATGAGATAAACCACGCAAGACACTGAGAAAGTGCCTGGCACTAGAAGGAGCTCAGTCACTCGCTCTCTAAACCTGGCCCCCTCCAGCGGCATGTAGCTCCCCGGAGCAGAGGAAAATAGGGTTCTTTTAGCGAGGAGAAGCAGGGAATGGCTGTTGGGTGGGCAGGCGCCCACTGTGTCTCCCCAGCCTTGAATAAGGTGATAATAACGGCTAACACTTCTGTAGCCCTCACCAAATGTCAGGCACCCTCCTAAGCGCTGACCCGGGACACGTCCACAGTCCTTTAGTTTCCACTCCCAAATGCAAAAAGCTCTGAAAACCAAAACTTGTGCTTTATTTACTGGAAACACCTGGCCTGAACTGACAAGAGGCCGCTTATTGTCTTTAATTCTCCTGCTTAGGGTAACTGTTGGTACAATGGCTCTAGAAAACGTGATCATGGATTACATCGATCATATTATCTTTCTAAAATCTGGGGAATTCTGAAACATACCCTAGAGTTTTTTTTTTTTTTTTTTTGTGAGGAGATCAGCCCTGTGCTAACATCCGCCAATCCTCCTCTTTTTTTGCTGAGGAAGACGGCCCTGGGCTAACATCTGTGCCCATCTTCCTCCACTTTATATGGGACGCCGCCACAGCATGGCCTGCCAAGCAGTGCGTCGGTGCGCGCCCGGGATCCGAACCAGCGAACCCCGGGCCGCCGCAGCGGAGCGCGCGCACTTAACCGCTTGCGCCACCAGGCCGGCCCCAATCCTAGAGTTTTTGAATAAGAGATGGAGGACTTGAATTAAATTATTTAATCCTCACAAAAATTCTGATTGCTTAATCAATCCCATTTTACCGATGAGGAAACTGAGGCTCAGAGAGGGTGAGTGACTGACTTGGGGTCACACAGCGAGCGGGGCGCGGGGCAGAGCCAGGCGTGGACCCAGGCCGCGTGCGTGCTTCAGGCTCCTGCTTCTCGCTGCAGCCGACCTGGTGGAGCTCTGCGGCCAGACGTGGCAGGGGCCCGGGCTGCTGCTGCGCTCGCACCCCGCGTCGCGCAGGTTCTACTTCGTGGCCCCGGACACCGACTGCGGGCTCTGGGTGCGGGCGGCGGCCCCCGGCGACAGGATCCGCTTCCAGTTCCGCTTCTTCCTGGTCTACAGCCTGACCCCGGCGTCCCCGGCGCCCCCGGCGCCCCCCGTGCCCAACGCCTCCTCCCCGGCGCCCGCCGACCGCTGCGCCCCCGGCTCCTACCTGCAGTTCTACGAGGGCCCGCCGGGGGCGCCCCGGCCCCTGGGGGCCCCGCTCTGCGGCCTGACCATCCCCGCCCCGGTGGCGTCCTCGGGGGACTCCCTGGGCCTGCGCCTGGTCACCAGAGGCCGCCAGCCCCGCGTGGACTTCGTGGGCGAAGTCACCTCTTTCCGGCTGGGTGAGTCGGGGCTGTTGGCCGGGACTCGGGCCTCCGGGCTGGGGGCAGCTGCGGGCCTGGGGCCACCAAGGGCGCGGTGGGAGCCCTAAAAGATGGAGGGGCTGGGCCCTAAGGGAGGCGAGGAGGTGGGGACTGGTGGCAGGGTTAGGGGGTGGCAGTAAGGGACGTTCCAGACCCCAAGGGCTTCCCTGGATGCGTATACCAGACGCCCTACCAGTCCCTGACGCACATACACTCACACATTCACACACAACTCACATCCCCACACAACTCCCGCCCACTCACACGCACTGTGCATGTACACAACTCACACCTCGTACACACATACACCCAACTCCACACCTTGCACACACACACTGCACACACTGCACAGACACAGTTCACCTAACACATACCTCATCCACACACAGGACCACTTTGCACACTTAGACACAACTCTTCACACTCACATTCACACACTAGCTCCTCTGTCCCGGTTAGCCCTTCAGATGTTTGCAGGCGGCCGGCGTTAGGACTCTGTGATGGTGACAGAAATCCACTGCAGCGGTGAAGGGGAGCTGATACTGATAATAATCACTCGTTCAGCATTGCCTTCTGCCCTCTGCGGGCCACACCTCATCTGTTCCTCACAGCGGCTCTGCTGTGCCTGTGTCCTTGTCATCAGACTGATAGATGGGATGCAGGCTCGGGGGGTTAAGTGAAGGGCCCCAGGCCCCCTGCACGCAAGCAGAGGGGCTGGGCCTGACTGTTGGAGCATGTCCTCATGCTCACATTGAGTTCAAGGCTTTAGCCCCAGCAGGGTCCCCCAGGACTCGAGGCACAACTCACCCATGTCACAGCAGAGGCTGTGTCCAGTGATGGCGAGCAGATGAGCTGCTCAAGTTCAGAAGATTCCAAAGCCACAGAGAAGCTTTATCACCATCTCTGGCAAAATATCCAGTCTGGAGAATTAAACATGGGGTTGTGAGCACTTTGAGACAAGAACGTGGGGGTCTCTGAGAGCCAACACAGGTTCACCAAGAACTAGACCTTGACACGCCAGGCCCCGGACAGCCCTTCAACACCGAGGTGGTCAGAGTGCCCCCATGCCGTCTCGTGTGTCTCTTTAGTCCTGTCCCATCGCTTTTCCTCCCTGGAATTGTGCATGGTCTGAATTTTGGATTTTAGACTCTATCTTCCCCATCAGAGCCTCTGGCTCTGTGATGAACCATATGAAATTTGCGCTCTAAATCCTTGGGGCCGTGACCGCTGGTGTCTGGGTCCCCGTTCCTGGATCCTGTAGGCCGTAGCATGCCAAGGTTCCTATTACGTATGTTGTTTTGCAAACAGCTCTCACAGGCTGATTGCAAATCAACCCCTGCCTCCCTCGTGCCTCTCTCCCTCCCGGTGGCCTTGTCCTCTCGCGAGGTGCAGCTGTCAGCCAGGGAGGCCAGGAATGTTGCAGCTGCTCCATGGTTAGCAGGACTGGGCTCCGAAAAGAAGGTGGCAGTGGTGAAGCCCTAACACAACTCTGGCTTCCTTGGATCAGCTTTTCATCAGAACGAGGAAAAGTTCATTTCACCTCCTCAGGCCGCACGCACAGTCTCAATCGCTGACACCTGCAAGCACACCCTGCCTGGCCCATGCCACACATTTCCACTCACATGTGGCTCCCCATACATTACCACGCTACTGTTTTCTCTCTCACAGACGTTCACTCTTACACCCACACATCTTCTAGATATTAGAGTGTTCACTTTCATTTGCAAACAAGAGAAACCCAACTCAAGTTGGTTTAAGCCAAGAAGAATTTCAGGAGGCTCCTATAACTGGGATATTAAGGTGTTGGTTCAGGTATAGCCAGATCCAGGAGTTCAAGTAATTTCACCTGGGCTCTGTCTCTTTGTTTTCTTCTATCTTTGCATCGTGTGGGTCTGTTTGGCTTCCATCTCAGGCAGCTCCTCTTTCTACGTGGCAGCAAAGCGACCCTGCAGCTCCAAGTCCACAATCACCCCTACAGCTCTATCTAACCTCAATGAGATAGAGAGCAAGCATCTTTTCTTATGGTTCTAGCAAAAGCCCCGGGGCCAGATCTGATTAGTCCTGGCCAGGAAATGGAATGCTCTGATTCCCAAGACCCCCTCTGGGGGAGGTTGATCAGTCCCACCTGAACCAGGTTTTCTGCACAGAATGGAATGCTGGGTAAGCCAACCCATCTGCCACACTCCGTGCACCGAGTCACATGATTCTTTCGCCTGGGTGCTTATTCATTCATTTAGCAAATATTAATGTGCCAGGTGCTGTTCTAGGCTCTAGGGATAGAGCAATGAACAAAAGAGAAGTCCCTGCCCTGCTAAAGCTGACATTCTGGGGCAGACAGACGAGAAACAAGTGATCAAGTAGATCCACATGCTGCAGAGGATCCCAAATCAGGGTGAGCAGGGTGGGGTACTGGGGGCGGGGTGGCGTTCTCATGTGGAGATTAGGAAAGGCCTGCGGATAAGGTAACATTTGAGCGGAGACAGGGGAACTTACCCCCCTCCTTAAGTGCAGGCTCCACACAGGAGCCTCCTTCCAGAGAGGTGAGCCATGCAGTCACTTGGGGAAGAGAATGCCCAGCGGAGCTGATGGCGAGTGCAGAGCCACGAGCGAGATTTGCTTGGAGTGTTCAGGCTCACTGGGATACCGTAGGCTGTGTGCACTCACACGTGCAGACACACACTCACACCCACTGTGTGCTACAGTGTTTATGAGCGTGGGACTGAATTCCTACTCTGCTACTGAGATACAAGCTGGGTGGCCTTGGTCAGGTGACCTAACCTGCCTATGCCTAGTCTTCTCTCTAAAATGGGGTTAATTACAGTATTTACCCACGGGGTTATTGTGAGAACTTAATGAGCTGGGATGTGAATGAGGTGTTTAGGGCTACGCTTGGCATGGCATAGGACTCAATAAATGTTAGCCATCATCATCTTCATCATCATCATCATCATCATCCTCATGATCACACACCTGTCTCCCATGACACGTTCATCCACACTCCCATCTGGATGTACGGGGCAACAGCCCTCTCCTGCCCACACATCCCGCATTCCCTGGCTATAGGGCCCCACACCCTGCTGCGTCATGGGTTGGCCCAGGTCCTCATCACATGCCTTCCCTCTTGGCCCCAGGATCCTGCGGTGCCTACTTCCGCTGTGGGAACAGGAGGTGCATCCCCCAGAGCCTGGTGTGCGATCCCTGGGGCATGGACAACTGTGGCGACGGAAGTGATCAGGCTTCCTGGCCACCAGCCGAGTGCAGAGGTCAGTGACGGGCGCGGCCTGGGCCCTGCAGAGCAGCTGGGAGGGAAATGGGGACTGACTCCCCTCTCCTGGGGCCAGGCCTCAGTGGGGGCCGGAGGCAGGGGTGCGGCTGGAGAGAACAAGGGGAAGCACTGATGGGGGGGAATCCGTTTGGACCAGACGACCTGAGGCTCAGAGCAAGTCGGAGCTGGAACGATGCTAGAGATGATCTAGTCCAGCTGCTTCCCAATGACATTTTAGTGGTGGAAGCTTTTCCTAAGCCGAAACTTGCACAGAGGCCTGAGACATCAGAAGGAAAGATGCTCTGTTTACTGGACGTGGGGGGTCCCGGGCTTTGGCCAACTGATGTCCCACTGAGGGACCTGTGTTTGACCCACAAGACTTACTTTGAAAACCATTGATCTAGTCTGACTCACATTTTACAGATGAGGAAATGGAGGCTTAGGGAGGAGAAACGACTTGCCCAAGGTCATGGAGTCATCGAGTGACATAACCAGGAATGGCCTCTGTGGATAGGGGGGACCAGAATAGGTCACCCGGGAATATCCTTCCTGGGAATCTGGAGATGCCCCATCCCCCAAACAGGAGTGGGATAGTGGCAGGGCTACCATGTACTGTTGAACAGGTTGTTTACTGCAAAAAAGCAGCTGGGTGAGGGGTGAAATCCGACACTTACTTCCTGAGCCACTCCTCAGTCTCATTTGCAGGTTCCTCGTCATCTCCCTGACACTCTGTGTTTGTGCCATGAGGCCCAGGTCCTATAGCCTCTCCTCCTCCACCCACGTGCATTCCCTCGGTGGTCTCCTTTATATCGTGTTGCCAGCTGGACTCGTCTTGGAACTCCGGTTACATAACCACCTCCCTACTCGCCATCTCCACGTGGATGTGAAGGCGGCATCTCAGACTTAACTTGCCCCGAACTGAACTCCTGATCCACAACCACCCGATCCTGCTCCTCACCGGTTTCCCCTTCTCACCCAAACTCACCCTTCACTCCTTTTTCCCTCTCAGCCCGTAACCAAGCCATTAACATCATCAGAATTTGTCTGATGTTTTTCTCATGAGAAGACTGGAGTGATGGGTTATTAGGAGGAAGACACAGAGGTAAAGTGTCCTGCTCATCACATATCAAAGGTGCATGCTACCTACATAGTTGATGGTTACTGTTTCTGCCTCCTCTTTCCCTGCCGTCCTCTCTGGAAGGAGGCTCCTGTGTGGAGCCTGCACTTAAGGAGGGGGGATAAGTTCCCCTGTCAGAGGAGCCTTAAAAAAATTTTTTTTATTGAGATGTAATTGATATATAACATTACATTAGTTTCAGGTGTACAACATGATTTGGTGTTTGTATATATTGCCAAATGATCACCACAATAAGTCTAGTTAACATCCATCACCACACATAGTTACAATTTTTTTTTCTTATGATAAGAACTCTTAAGATCTACTCTCTTAGCAACTTTCAAACATACGATACAGTACTATTCACCATGCTGTACCTGACATCCCCAGGACTTATTTATTTTATAACTGGAAGTTTGTACCTTGTGGCCCCCTTCACCCATTTCGCCCACCCCCAATCCCCAGCCTCTGGCAACCACCAGTTTGTTCTTGTATCTATGAGTTTTTTTTTTTTTTTTTTTAGATTCCACATATAAGTGAGATCATACAGTATTTGTCTTTCTCTGTTTGACTTATTTCACTTAGTGTAATGCCCTCAAGATGGTCCATCTATGTTGTTGCAAATGGCAGGACTTCTTTCTTTTTTATGGTTGAATAATATTCCATTGTGTATGTATACCACATTTTCTTTATTCATTCATCCATCGATGGACACTTAGGTTGTTTCCACGTCTTGGGTCTTGTAAATAATGCTGCGATGAACATGCGTGGGGGTGCAGATATCTTTTCAAGTTAGTGTTTTCATTTCCTTCGGATAAATAACCAGCAGTGGAACTGCTGGCTCATATGGTGGTTCTATCAGAGCAGCCTTTTAAAACAACAAGCTAGATCATGTCACTCTTGTGCTCAGAACCCTCCACCTTCCTCATCTCACTCAGCAAGAGCAAAGCCTCCCAGGCCCATGGGCCCTGGCCCGCCCCTCCCTGGCCCCGTCCCTTCTCTGGCCCTGCCCCTCCCACGTGCCTGCTTGCTCCCTCCGTTCCTCCACACTGGCCCCCAGCAGCTCCTCCCACGCTCCCATCTTGTCCTGCCTCTGGTCTCTTCACTGCCTCTTTCCTCTGCCTGGAAGGCTTTTCCCCAGAGATTTACATGCTCATTCCTACAGGTCTCTGCTTAACTGTCACTCAGTGAGCTCCTTCCTGCCCCTTTATTAAAAAGAGCAATCCTGTGTCCACTGACAGATGGACAGATAAACAAAATGTGATGTGGCCACACAATGGAATATTATTCAGCCCTAAAAAGGAAGGAAACTCTGACACTTGCTACAACAGGCATGGATGAACCTTGAGATCATGCTAACTGAAATAAACTGGACACAAAACGAAAAGACAACTTAATAATTGGGAGAAGATATTTGCAAACTGTATGTCTGATAAGGGGTTAATATACAAAATATATAAAAAACTCATACATCTCAACAACAAAAAAACAAACAACCCAGTTAAAAATGGGTAAAAGATCTGAACACTTTTCCAAAGAAGACATACAGATGGCCAACAGGCGCATGAAATGATGCTCAACATCACTAATCATCAGGGAAATGCAAATCAAAACCACAATGAGATACCACCTCACGCCCGTCAGAATGGCAATAATTAACAAAACAAGAAATAAGTGTTGAAGGGGATGTGGAGAGAAGGGAACTCTCATACACTGCTGGTGGGAGTGCAAACTGGTGCAGCCACTATGGAAAACAGTATGGAGATTCCTCAAAAAATTAAGAATACAACTACAATACGATCCAGCTATTCCACTGCTGGGTATTTATCCAAAGAACATGAAAACATGAATGAGTAAAGATATGTGCACCCCTATGGTCATTGCAGCATTATTCACAATAGCCAGGACTTGGAAACAACCTAAGTGCCCATCAATGGACAAGTGGGTAAAGATGTGGTATATATACACAATGGAATACTACTCAGCCATAAAAAAAGATGAAATCTTGGGGGCCGGCCCAGTGGCATAGTGGTTAAGTTCAGCGCGCTCTGCTTGAGCAGCCCAGGTTCGGTTCCTGGGTGTGGACCTACACCACTCATTGGCGGCCATGCCGTGGCGGTGACCCACGTACAAAATAGAGGAAGACTGGCATGGATGTTAGCTCAGGGTGAATCTTCCTCAGGAAAAATAAAAAATAAAAAGATGAAATCTTGCCATTTGCAACAACATGGATGGACCTTAGGCTAAGCGAAATAAGTCAGAGGTTGAAAAAGTCAAATACTGTGTGATCTCACTTATAAATAGAAGATGAAAACAACAACAACAAACACACACATAGATACTGAGATTAGATTCGTTCTTACCTGAGGGGCGGGGGGAGGGAGGAGGGTGAAAGGGATGACTGGGCACATGTGTGTGGCGATGGATGGTAATTAGTCTTTGGGTGGTGAACATGATGTAATCTACACAGAAATCAAAATATAATGATGTACACTGAAATTTATATAATGTTATAAACCAATGTGACCTCAATATAAATAAATAAATAAAAATAAGCTGGACACGAAAGGATAAATACTGTATGCTTCCACCTGTATGAGGCACGTACTCGGATTCATAGAGGCAGAAAGTAGGATGGTGGTTGCCAGGGGCCTGGGGGAGGGAGAACAGGGAGTCAATGTTTCATGGATGTGGAGTTTGTTTTGCAAAATGAAAACAGTTCTGCAAATGGACGGTGGGTGATGGTTGAGCAACAATATGAATGTACTCAAGCACTGAACTGTATACTTAAGAATGGTTAAAATGGTAAATTTTGTTTTGTATAGTTTACCACAATTAAAAAAAATAGCAACATTGCCCCTAGCCAACATGCCCTGTCCCTTTTCCCTTAATTTTTCTCCATAGCACCTGTCTCCATTTGACACACGATGTAATTTGTGCTTTGTCTCTTCACACTAACGTGCCAGTTCCAGGAAGACATTTTTGTCTGTGTTGTTCACTGTTGTGTCCCCCAGTCCCCAGGGCATATGCCTGGAGTATAGCAGACGCTCGAGAAATACTAGTCGAATGAGTGGAGGAATGACCCTCTCTAGGCCTCAGTTTATCTGTAAAATGGGGGTGATAAACCTAACCTTTTAGAGTTGTTGTAAACTTTAAGTGAAATACTCTAGGTAAAGGGCTCAGCAGTGGGCACGGTGTGCACAGAAAATGCTGGATACCTGCACACCCGCCTTCTTGAGAAGTCGCTCCAGGCCCAAACCCCAGGCCCGAGGGTAGGTGACTTCACCTCTGTGCCTCACTTCCCATATTGCTCAGATGGAAACACCAACAGTAACAAACTCAGAGAGGTTCTGGGAGGAGGAAATGAGACGTAATCACGGCCACCGGGGGCAGTTCTCAGTGTGTCAGCTCTGTTATTTCCCACTGCAGGCCCCTCTCTGGTGCCCAGCCAGGCCGTGCGTACAGAAGCCTCCGAGCCCCCGACGCTCTCCGCAGCTCTTGGGTCTGCAGGCCCCCTCTGGACCGCAGCTGAGAGGAGCCCCCCGGCGGGCCGGGACCCCGCACAACAGGATGCAGCTCCGGGAGGTAGACGGCTCTTGGTTACCACCTGCTTCCACTCCTCCCACCGAGATCACACTTGCCCCCGTGCAGGTGATGGGGACGGGGCAGCGGGCCAGGCTGAGGCCTGAGCGGACTCCCTCTCTCCCTCCACAGGTCCCCGGTTGCGGGGCGTGGCACTGGCCTCCTCGCTGCTCCTGGCCTCCGCCGGCCTCTTCATGGGCCTCGCCTGGTGCTGTTGCTCTCCGAGCCGACCAGGCTGGCGGGCTAGTGCCCACGGCCCCTGTCCCAGTTGCACCATCTGTTACACGTGTCCTGGCCAGGTGGGCCCTGGGGGGGCTGCGGCCGAGCGGGCCAGCCTTCCAGGGCCAGGCAGGCCACCCCTAGAGAGGCTGCGGGCGTCGGAGGAAGGCGAGTGGGCTCTGGGGTCAGATGGACCCTGGGTTCTGCCCTGACCCCCTGGAGGGCTGCTTGACCTTAGGCAGGTCACTTAGCCCCCCGAGACTCAGTCTTTTCTTCTGGAAAATGGGATGATTCCGGCCTCACATGGTTGTGGGGAAGGCCACGGGGGGTAACCAGCCCTGCAGCTCGTGGTGGCTGGTGCTCTGCTGGGTCAATGAAGGGCAGGGCCTCCGTGCCCAGGGCAGGGAGCAGGGGCCTCGCTCACCTGAAGCTGCCCTGCTGCACTCCCAGACTTCGCCTGCCCTGCTCTGCCCACCCCAGCCCACCCCCTCAGGTTCCACCAGTCAAGCCCTCCTCAAGGACACGGGAGACAGCCCTGGCGGGGATAGCACCGTTTATTAAGAAAGATCAAGACAAAGACCACAGGAGGGTCCCTTCTAGGACACAGAGGCCAGGCGTCCTGACCCCACACCTGGGGGCTGCTGGTGGGGAGGGTGCTTGCCCCCAGGTGGGCCCTCAGGCTCCCACAGGCAGGGCAGGGCTGTCGTGTCCCCTTCCTGTCCCTCCCAGTCGTGAGTCTGGCTTCCCCCACCCAAGGCACTAACTCTTTCCGACCACCAATGCCCTCCTCCCCCCATGTCCCCTGGGCCTTCACTTCCAGATCAGTGGGGGGATGTGGCCTGGTGCGGGCGGGGAGACCCTCTCAGTGCTGGGCTCTGCCTGTGGCAGCTCCTGGTCAGAGTTGGGGTGGTTTCCCTTGCAGCCCCTGAGGGCAGGGGCCCTGGGCTAGGTGTTGGGGGGGGGCAATGCAGGCCAGGAGGGCTTGGTGGGAGGGGGCGGCTGCCAGGGGCAGGTGGCCTGGCCGGCTAGGCGGAGGTGGAGGGGGCTGGGACAGGGTGGGGGCTGCCTGCCCAGGGGTGAGCTGCCTTTTACTCCACAGTTGGCACTAAAGAGCTTTCCCAACCCAGAGCGGGGTGGCGAAGGCCACTGCCATGGCCCCTGCTCCAGGGAGCTGGTGAGGCACCAGGCTATAAGCCCAGGAAGGAGGGCTGCCCACGGCTGCAGAAGTGGGCAACTCAGCTCCACCTCGGGGGGCTCGACTGATGCAGGCAGTTCTGAGCCCACTCGGCCACCGTGCCTGACCCTCTGGTGGGTCCTGGTGGCTCTGTGAGGCACCTGCTCCCATCCAACCTGCCCTGCCCGCCAGCCTGTGGCTTTGCCCAGGTGTGTGTGTGTGTGGGGGGTGGCGTGCCCACCCTCCAGTCCAGCCCAGGGCAGTAGCAGCAAAGCGTGGCATCGCCTCAGTTTCTTACAAAATATTCATAATAATAATATTAATAATAATATACTCGACGTTGTGGGGCTGGGGCGCTGCCCGGGAGTCCGTGTGGGGCAGGCGGTTGCCTACGAGGGGCAGGGCCGCGTGTTGGCCCCCGCCTGGGCACGGTGCTGCAGGTCCAGGGGCTGTGGGGGCGGGGCGCCAGGCCGGGCCGAGTGCAGCACCAGATTCTTGATACAGCCCGTGATGCCTGAGGAGAACCTGCCCCCGGTCAGCGCGGCCACGTTGGGGGCTCCGCCTGTGGGGAGGGGAGAGGACAGGCCTGTCAGCTCCGGGACCCAGGAGGTGAGGCAGGCTGTGTGCTCCCGCTCTGCAGGAGCCCCATTCCCTCCCTGGCCCGGAGGAGGGGGCCCCTGGCCTGCAGGGAGGCCTGAGCCCAGGACTTACCGATGTAGATGCTGCCCTTGGTGTTGACCGCCACGTTAGGGCCTGGGGACTGGCCACTGACCAGCTCCTCTCCGTCCACCTGGAGGGAACCTCTCCGGCCCTCCCTGCGGGGAAACTGGGTCAGGCCCCTCACCACCAATGCCCCACCCTCCCCAACCCAGTAACAGTCCCCTCCCTTTGCCCCAGACTCCAGACAGAGACGTCTGCCCACCGCTCCCTGAGTTCTTTCCTTCCCCCGCTGGATGAGATCTGGCCCCACAAACCCAGCTTCCTAGCTCCCCACCCAGGTTTCACCCCTCCCCTAGGGTACTTGGCCACCCACCCCCCATGGAGTTCGTCCTGCCCTGGCAGTCTGTGCTCTGGCTGATGGGCTCCCCCTCGACCTTGGCTTCAAGTTCTGGTGGGGAGCATCCTGTCCCACTCCGGAACTCTGGGCCCCTCGCCCTAGGGCCCGGCTCTCTTACCGCAGCGCCATCACTCGATGCCACTCGCCGTCATTGATGGGGTCCTCGGAGACAAGGCGGGCCTCCCCGCTGCCTAGCTGGTAGCTGCAGTCACACAGGCCCGAGAAGGAGTGAGTGGGGCAGGACTGGAGGGTGTGGGATGGTGGTGGTGGGGGTGTGTGGCTGGGGCACTGGAAGCTGCAGCTTCTTGTGGGAGGAGCCATGGGGCTGACCAGAGGGGAAGCCACTAAGGGCGTGAGGGGGGCCAGGGAAGGGTCAGGTGCCAGGACCCACCTGAAGACAAGGTGCCCGTCCTGAAGCCCGAGACTGAGGAAGTCCTTGCCTCGGCCGGCCTCTCCCACCTCCTGCCAGGGAAGCACAGGGTCTCTGGGGTCCCCAGCCTGGAGAGCCGAGGTCTCCAATGGCTGTGGTCTCCACTTTCCTCTCTCCCACTGCCCTGGCCACCAGGAGGCTGGGAACCCTGAGACCCCGGGCCCGACGCCCATACTCACCACACCCTGCCAGAGCAGGAGGCCACTGGCTGTGCTGGTCCGAACCTCTAGCTCGATGGTCTCGGGCACTTCGGGAAGGCTGTGGTGGGGGAGAGAGTGAGGGGGCAGAAGTCCCAGATGCCTATTCCCCTCCCTGGGCCCACGGGCTCTCCCAACACCCGTCTCACCTCCTGGAGAAGACGCGGCCGGGGAGAGCTAGGAAGCCATCATCGTGGAAATAGGCTCCGTACTGCCCAGGGGCATCTGCGGGAGGATGGGGCGATGGTGAGACACCTGCTCACCTGCGAGAAGCGTCCATCCCGAATCGGCTCCCTGACCCCCCCCGCCCAACACGTACCACAACGGGGACTCAGAGCCCGCAGTCCCTGGGGACCCCAGGCACTGTGGACAGAATTCAGGGGCCTGTGAACCTGGAGGGGAAAATACTACAGCCCTATTTTTGCTCACTTCTCACTGCAATTGAGCAGTTCCTTCAATTATGCATGTAGACAACCAACCAAAGGCGGAGTAGCAGGACCCGTGACTTTGTCACTCACAGAAGATGTCCTTATAGCGTGACAGTGGTGGCAAATATTTCAAAACGTCGTCTAAGCGTATTGAGATCGTGGTAGCTATTAGGCCCATCACTAGATCTCGTTATTTTGTATGTTAATAAAGAAGCACATATGTTGCAAATCAGAAAATTTTCAATATTTTCGTAACGTCATTTCACTATAATTGGTTTCCTTTGAAATCCTACGTGTTTTATTTTATGCAGTCACTAGGGTCCAGGTAGGGTGACCGGCCATCTCCATTTGCCGAGTCCTGTCCTGGTTTTAGCTCTGAAAGTCCCATAGTCCAAGAAGCCCCTCCGTCCTGAGCAAACCAGGACAGTTGGTCACTAGGTCCCTGGCACGTGAAAGGGTCAGAACCTTCGTGTCTCCTCCATCTTACAGGTGGGAAGACAGGCTCAGGGGCTGAGTGACTTGCCCAGGAAGGGGGAAGCCTGGACGGCAACCTGGACCTTTCAGCTCCAATGTCCATACTGTGTGTGGCTCCAACATCCCCAGCCCTGCTCAGACCCATCCCCCAGGCCAGCACTGGCCCCTGTGGGCCTGACAGCTACAAGGGAAGGGGACACTTTGCCACCTGCCACCAAATGATGAGGATAACGGCTAACGTTTACCAAGTACTTGCTACATGCCAGTCACTGTGTAGGGAGCTTCATGTTCAGCTACAAACATCACTTCATTTAACTTGATCCTTATAACAATCCTATGCCTTAGATATAACATTAACAAAAGCTAACATTCTGTACCCACTCTGGACCAGACATAGTTCTAAGCATTTTAAATACATTAAATAATTTTACTCTCACACAAAATTCTATCCAAAGCCTTGTGGAAGGATGTTACTTCTCTCCATTTTATACAGGAGGAAACAGGCACAGAGAGGTTAAGCGACTCATCCAAAGTCACACAGCTATTAAGTGGCAGGGCTAGCATTTGAACCCAGGGAGGCTGGTGCCAGAGTCCCTGCTCTTACCTACTATCTATCCCACTACTTATCCTATTATATTAGTGATAAAGAAGAAGATATGTATCTATAAAGCAGTTAGCACAGCACCTGTAATTGTTCAGTAAACAATTTTTTATAAATTATCATTGCTTGTAAACAGATTGTGCAATCCTTGAGAATGAGGGTCCTGCCTTATTCATCTTATATCTACTGCTCCTAGGGCAAGGATGGGCACACAATAGATGTTTGTTGACGGAACGTATGAATATAGAGGAGGAAACTGAGATCAGAGTGGTTCGAGGGCCTGCCCAAGGTCACCCAGCCCGTTAAGTACAGAGCAGGACCCACCTCTGTGTGGCTGTGATCTTTGCTCTGTCTATCTGTGCCCAGTGAGCCTCTCACTGGGCCTGTTTTGCTAAGAGGCCAGAATTGACGGTGTGGGGTTTGGAAGAGGGGGTTGGGAGACCTGAAGCCAGGGAGCAGACAAGCCCACTGGGCTTCCCTGGCTGGCCCCAGCAAGTACGTACCGCTGCCCCCGCTGCCTTCAAGATGCCAATCAGACTCCGCTGTGCCATGTCCAGAGCCTATGGGGAAAGGCAGCGTCCAGTCAGCGGGCACAGACACCCGTGGGGACTGTGTCCAGGGCTCCAAGAGGGAGGTGGAGAGAAGCCACGGCAGTTACCTTGTTGGCAGCGTGGGCCAGAGAAGCCAGGGGGACAGAGGCAGCGGGTGCCCTGGCAGGTGCCCCCGTGCAGACAGGGCTCCTGGAGCTGGCAGGGGTTCTCCTCGTGCTCACAGAGGTCTCCTGTGGGCCAGGGCAGAGCGAGTGGGCATGGGCTGGAGTGGCCGCTGACCACCCTGCGCCCCCTCCCAGG